TTGTATTTCTATTTAAAAAAGTTTATCCAATTTTTTGTTGTTTATGTTTTGAAGTAATACTTCACTATCATTGTTGTCGCAAATATAAAGATAATGATCGCTAATAACTCATCACTTGTTGTATACTATGTATTATGATATGTATAATGTTATGACAAAATATTATGGCTTACAAAAAAAAGTTACAAAAATTAATGATTTTACTAATAATTAATTGCTTGAAAAAACAAAATTTGTAAATAAGCTTTAAAAATGTAAAATTATTATTTATTTATTATTATTATAATTATAAATATTAACTAAAAATTTTGTTGACTACTAAAAAAGTTGAACAATAATAGATAACAATTTTATTAAAATATTTTGTAAAATAATTTAATGCTATTGAATACTATATATATACACACAAAAAACATCACTAATTAGTACTAAAAATTAGTACTAATTATGAAACGCTATATAAAAATTTTATTTTGTATTATATATATATTTATAGTTAGATTTTAGTGGCCATTATATATGTGACATACATGAGCTATTATACAACGCTAATTACAAACTGTTTTATAGTCAAACAGTGAATTAGATACTTAGTTAGAAAAAGTTATTTTTTTTGGAAAAATTGTTATAAAATGTATAAAATAAATAAATTTATTATAACTTTTAGATTAACAATGTATTATTTGTAACAAATAACACACTAACAATTTAATTTAGTCAATGTAACAAACATTTTAATAAAGTATTACTGGTAAAAATAATTGATGTTAATATAACAGGTGTTAATTAAATATATATATATATATAAATATATATAGTATATTAGTTTTTCCTAAATAATTGATTTTTATTTATATCAATGACACAATTAATAGGCGAACTAATTAATATAACAATATAATAATAATAAGCTATAATATTGTTAATATGAATATATATTTCATTAACATTATAATATATATATATAAATTATATATATATATATTGTATTGATATAAATTTTATATTATAAATGAAAGTATGTACTGTATTTTTTTGTTGATAATAATTAATACATTAAAATTATATGTCATGTAATATACATAATTTTTTTAATATAATTATGTTTCAGAAAAAATGTAATATAAATAATTACATTCAATTTTTTTTTTGTTTTATCACTTTATAAAATAGAGTTACAAATAAAATATATAGATAAAATTATAGCATTATATTAAATCAAATGTTAACAAAATTTATAGTACAATAAAAATAAATACATTTGACTTTCATTTCAAATTCATGTAATGATGTATAAAATTTTGTATATGTTTGTATAATATATATATATATATATATGTGTGTGTAGTTAATGTGCCAAAAATTTTTATGTTGAATAAATTTGAAAGTTTCAACATACAAATTAAGTATCAAGGAAACATTGAGAATAATTATTTTAGATAATATTTTTAGATAAAATTAAAAATTATATTTATATATTGAAAACAGTGTTTCAAAAAAAACAAATATTTTCTGAAAATTTAATTTAATTTAATTTTTATAAGGAAAATAGTGATTATTTTTTTGTGTGAATAAAATTCCTAAATATTTTTCATAGGAAATTAAATTTTATTGATACTAATGATAATAAATCTAACTATTAATTATAATATAAATATTACTAAAAACACACGCATATAGACATATCATACAGTGTGTGACATACACTATATAAGTGCAAATAATTTACTGGTGTATAACAACATTAATTAATGATAAATAAAGCAAACAAAAAAACAACAAACAGTATCATCACGTTATGGATGATAGCATATCTGGTATTGAAAGTACAGCTAAACTGCTGTTCAATAAGATATTTGTTAAATCCTGTGATATATATATATATATATATTGTATACATACTGTATATATATAATATATATAACCCGTCTATTTTTCGGTGAAACATCCATATAAATTTTGTTATATACTGTATATGTTTTAAGAGTATAGAAAGGCCAGTCGTATTTGAACGGTTAGAGTCATGGAGTTTAGATACATCTAATATATTTCATATAAATCTATATACTATATCTCTAATATCGAGAGAGAGAGAGAGAGAGAGAGAGAGAGAGAGAGAGAGAGAAATAACAATCATTTTGTTTGTTGCCATTAACTTGTCTTTGTCTAACATTTTTATGCGCTTATATATACACAATGTTATTATATATTATGTTATGTTATGGTGTAGTAGTTAGAGGTAAATAAATTGAACTCTTCATAGCGGGTCTTCATTTATCAAAAATGATTGAAAGCATACCATAAGTCATGGCTGGAGAAGCTATGGCTAAGAGATTGAGAGAGAGAGAGAGAGAGAGAGAGATAGAGATAGAGATAGAAAGACAATTAAAACAACCGACAGATTAGATGAAACTACAATAACAACAATAATAATACTAATAATATAATAATAATAACTTCAACAATCAAAGCAAACTATAAATGATATAAAAATAGTGGCTAAAAAGCTAAGTTATATGATTATAAACTATACAATAAATATTTTATAACAATATATATATTGTATTTGTTAATCTATAAATATATATATTTATATGTCTGTGCAAATAACTAAAAAAAATAATAATAAAGTTTTATAACAATAAAAAATCCATTTTTTTGTCTCAAATTAATGATTTGAAGTTTACTACTCTTTTTTTTGTTGTTACTTTATTTAGTTTTATTATTATTATTATTATTTTGTTGAGGATAAAAACCCAATTATTTGTTACACATATTATACTTATGACTTGTTTTCACAATACCACTGTTCAATACCAAGTATACTATTATATTATATGAAAAAATAGAGATAATATCAGTTTTTTATCGACTCTATAGAGACAAACAAACATATTATATATTTTGTCACTTTCAATGATATAACTTTAAACACTTGATTTTTATATACTTCCAATATATCATATATTGATATATGATATACAATATAATAAATCTATAACAATGCTATAATAAATGTGATTACAATATATATAAAAAAAAGTTTTATCATATATAAAATCATTTTTTTGTGTGTCGGCAATCGATAATATCATTGGCATAATTGTGTAGTCAATCATTTGATATACAATTTACTACACTTCACATAATAATAATAATAATAAAAATAATAATACACACCAATCATCACTTTTATTCAATGGATTACAAGTTAAATGATTTGCAAAATTTTCTTCCAGAAAAAAATTGGTTTAATATATTATATAAATTTTCTATATCTATATATATATATATATATATATATATATATATATTGATATACAGTATACTAAATATATATATTTTTTGTTTTCTCAGATTCGTTGAAAAATATTCCAACAAAAATCGAAAATGTCATAAATGCTAAACACTTATATCATATTTGAAGTGTGAATTTTATATATATATATATATTCAATATATATAATAGGCATACAGTGTATGTACACAGAAATATTTAGCAGAATATTCTTGTATGTGAATTGAATGTATTTATTATATTTTATTTCACTTTTTTTACACTCAACACACATATACAGTACACACACACACACACACACACACACACACACACACACACACACACACACACACACACACATAGAAAGACACACTCATAGAAATTCATTACTTGAATGAGTATTTTTTATTTATTTATTTCTATTTTATGTGTTTTTTCTTTCTACACAACAATTTTATCGCTTTTAATATTATGCTATTTCATAAGTTTTGAAGTTACGATATACTTATTGCAGATTTTGTTTTTTTTAGTAGTTATATATATATATATACGATATATACTGTATATATTTGCTACTACTTGTTTGACTGTAAAAATGATAAGTAAAAAATAAAAACAAACAAAAACTTCATATATATTGAAGAGATTTGAAGACCATCTCTACTGTGAAAAAATAAATATTTTATCGCAAAATATCTAAATATAGATATAAAAAAATAATATTTTATATATAAAAAGTAAATCATTGATATTAACAGTAATACACCTTTTAATTTGTTTTAGATTTTGATTTGATTTATATTATTTTATTTTTTACGAATTAATATTTTTATTAATTAAATTTAATTGAGTTTTAAGTAAATATTAAATATAAATAACATAAAGTAAATATAATATAACAATTAAATAATTATTTGAATAAATATTTTTTGAGATAATAATAATAATTTATTGTTAAAATATCTATTTAATTTTATTACAATAAATTATATTAAATTACATTAAATATCTTTATAATCAAATAAAAATTAATTTATGAGTTTAACTAACTATTATGATAATTTTTTGATAAATCATTATTATTATAAATATTTTTATTTTTAATAATTCTAATTAAATATTACAAATTATAATTTTATATTCAATGTTTATTATAACATGTTGAAAATTATTTATTCAAAAAAAAATAAAAATAAATATTTTATGTCTATTTAGAGATTTTAATATTTTATAATTTACTGATATATATTTTTTTGATGATTTTATCAATTTATTTCCTATGAAATCTTAATCCAGCAATGTCTTTTACTTAAAAGCACATATAATATAAATTATTTATCATATATATATAACTTATATATATATATATAGTAAATTCAGCAGTGATAAAAAAATAATTTATTGCTCTACTATTTTCTTTTACTGGTATTTACTAATTATTTATTTATACATTATTACTACTACTACTACAGTACTATGATATACAGTATAATTCAATATTAATTAATAGTAGACTATTATATTATATTAAATATATAAATTTATATGTGATATATATATACAGTAAAAATCTCAGCCAACCAATCGCTATATTACACAACAATATTGTATATTTTTATTATTTATTACATAGACTTACTATAATACGTTACTAACGTCACGTTAGCTAACAATACAAATTGCAATATATTTGTCAACAATTTTTTTTATTAGGTTATCACACAAATAAAACACAGGTATTAATTTTATTATACATATTCAATATATTACTGTAAGTAATAAATACTATATTATCAATAGTTGTCATATAAAAGTATCGATATTACTGCAAAAAAAAAATTGTTTTATATATATATACTGTATATATAATTAAATATTAAAATAATTATTATATGAAAATTTTTTTGAAATAAATTAATAATTAATTAATTATTATTTAATATTTAATTTATAGCTATTTATATTATTTAATACTATACTGAAATCATTTACGTTTAAAACAACACATTCAATATTATCAATAATATATAATACAGTACTTTGAAAACCTTAAAAACAGGGATACAGTTATACAGTATTTTTGTAGACGTTATCTATTGGTGTGAATAATACAGGTATTACTGTATTTACACCAATAATATTGATGTTAGTGTTAATAATAATAATAATAATAATATACTATTAAATACAGTCAATTGTGATGACGTTAACTTAGAAAAAATATATTTATTTATTTATTATAACCAAAAAAAAAAATAGTTTTATTTCAATTAGTACTATACTGTACTTGTAGTGTATATTAATAGGTAGTTATTATTAATATATTAATATTATAATACAATAGTAAAAAACACTAACAATTGTAAAATGTATTCAAACAAATTGATAGATATCTCATAACAACTATTATTATAACAGCAAAAACAATATAATATTAATTAATAATTAATAATAAAGTTATTAATTATCCAACAAATGTGTGAACAAATTGTTTGCAATAATAATAATATTATTAGTGATATTAATATCATATTTAGTTAATAGTTAGTAAAACAATGCCTAAAAAAAGTCCGACTAATAGTATGAATGGACACAACAAACAACATAACGGCGCCGGTAATCGTCAACGACGGCGACCAACAACAACAAAAACAACTACGGGTTCATCGGTGGTCAGTCTGGCGGTACTGACCGTAGCGACACTGGCCGTATCGTACGGCATATACGCCAATATCGATGCCATCAACGAATTATCGAAGCGGACACTGGATGTCGATATCAAACAATATGTTACCGTCGGCAGCGGCGGCGGCGGCGGCGATAACAACAATGAAGATATTGATAGACGATTACCGCAACAACAACAACAACGGCCACAACAAGTGGTGTCACCGCCGATAAAGCCGAAGCCGACAAAAACGAAGCCAACTGTCGACAGTAGTATTCACGAAATACGTCAGAAATCGACATCGAAACCGGTGGACATTAAATCGTGTCAACAAATGTTGGCCAACGATATCCCGGGTCTAACACTGGACGACTTTCATCCGATCGACAACCAAAATCCCAAAGACTTGACACTCAATCAGATCTCACAATTCAATAATTTGCAATTAGGTCCGCGATTGCAGTCCATTGTCCGAATGGATTACTTCAAGTTTGTCAAACTCAACCTCAATCGGGGCTGTACTCTATGGCCCGACTCTACCAAATGTGTGCTTAGGTATGTACTGATGATGACTTGTCCATCCAATTGATTGATTGATTGATTAATTAATTGATTTGTTTTGCGATTACAGAGACTGTAGTATACAATACTGTGATAAATCAAAACTCCCAAAATCGGTGATAATGGAGGAGAACAACGACAATAACAACAACAACAACAACAAAAACAATGGTAAGTAATTTCAGAGACATATGGTTCCCATTAAGAGTTTTCTTTAATAGACAATACTATTATCTCTTTTTGATTTTTTATTGAATTGAACGGTAATTGAATTTTTTTTTGTAATCAAAATTAGTTGTCCGCAAAGTGTCGACACTAACGGACAAAGAAGCTGAAGACTGTCCGGCAAATTCGGAACAAAAGCTATCGCAAATCGATCGGACAGTTTCGTCGACAAACATCGAGGCCATGAACTCGCTGTTTGATTGTACCGAAAACGACGAAGAGGGCACTCAGTATTACGATTTGCTATTAAATCCCGAAAGATTTACCGGTAATTAAAAATCAATCATTTGTTTGTCCAAATCATATATATATGATGATAATCATCGACACAATATCGATGATGATGTCATCGTTGGTGTATAACTTGTTTGATATGAACTGTTTGTTTTTGTAGGTTATGCCGGCGAAACATGCGATCGTATCTGGAAATCTATATACGAAGAAAACTGTTTCCTACAGAAACAAAGCAATCCGTTCTCATTGGACAATGTCTGCTATGAAGAGCGGATCTTCTACAGAGCCATCTCCGGTCTTCATTCGTCTATTAATATACATTTGTCGGCCTTATATCATAACATTGACGGCTCGTTTTCACACAATATCAAAGAGTTTGTCAAACGATTTGATGGTAAATAAAATTGAGAGAAAAAAACAAAACATTTTATTAGTTTTGTCATTGATTTTTAATTTCATGTCTTTATTATTATAACTTTTTTTAGGTCAAACCGATTATATTAGGAATTTATATTTTGTATATTTGCTTGAATTACGTGCCCTTAACAAAGCTGAACCATATCTGCTTAATAAAGTCAATTGGCAGTCAAGTGGTGACCAATCGCTCACTAAAGAGGCAATCAAAGACCTGATGCGGACAGTCAAGTGAGTGGTGTCAATGAATTTGAATATTATAATTATCGATACAATATATATGTAAATGTTATGTTAATAATAATTTGTTTTTTGTTTTGTTTATTTGGTAATCAAATCAGAAAATTCAAATATCACTTTAACGAGTCGATCCTATTCAAGGATCAGCCGCCGACTGTTGCTCATCAAGTTGGCCAACACTTTCACAATATAACGACAACAATAATGGATTGTGTGGCCTGCGACCGGTGTCGGCTATGGGGTAAAGTGCAAACACACGGCTTGAGTACAGCCTTGAAAATATTGTTGGCCGACGACACCAACGATAAGCTACGATTGCATCGGCACGAGATCACATGTCTGGTCAATGCATTGGCCCGACTATCCAATAGTATCGCACAGTTGGAGGTCTTCAAAAAGTTACTTACAAATTGATTATATATTTTAATTGTTTTTTTTTTTATTTTGATAAATATATATATATATTTAATATATTGACGATATTATAATAATATTATTATTATTTATTGACAATGGATTTTTTTAAAATTTTGTCAAATATTTATTTATTTTTATTTTGAGTCATTAATTAATAATTTTTGTTTTAATCTATAAAATAATTTTATTTCACATTTTTAAAAAATATGTTTCAAAGAGATTATTTATTATTATTATTATAATTACTATTGATTGATTAATAAATATTTATTTTGAGTCATTAATTATTAATGCAATTAATAAGAATATTATCGGTAATTATTATTATAATAAATTTTTTCATATTATCGGTAATTTTTGGTAATATATAAAACAACTCCTAATGTCCACTACTTTCTCGATGTACTTCTTGACCTCTCACGAGTTGGTTGTGATGATTGTAGCGGTTGTACAGCAATCTTGTGGTCATACGGATTGTCTAGTCTTTCCTGATAGACATCCCAATCGGATAATTCAATCTTAAAATAACAATTTATTACTAATTTTTAATAATTACCTTAATTGGTCTATTAATATATTAATACTATAAATATTTTTAGATTACTAACTAACCTCATCATTGGACAACAATTGTCTAAACGATTCAAGAGTTTCTTTTTTGTCGGCCTTTTCAAGATATCGTTGTCGATAAGCGAGAACCAGTTCGACAAACTTGTTGTTCTTGTCGTACTGTTTGGCCAATTGGAGAGCCCGTTCCCATCGAAACAGTTGCAAATTCAGAGCAATTACCCGCAAGATATAACCGCTTTGGATCAACAGATTTTCGGCTTCTCTAATATTACCGCAGATGAGAGCTATCTCTGCATTCTTCGACTCGTTGTCTTTGAGTTCTTTAAGTTTCTGAATGTACATCACTTTGTCGACCCGATTGACTGCAGCGTAGGCCAACTCTGCAGTGTTGAGCTGTCGCGAGTGTACAGCCATTCCGGCCAAAGCGGCCCAAAGAGCTTTTATATCGTAATTATCTTTCAGAAACTGACACAATCGGAGTGCTTCCGGCCATTGCTGTTGACCAGCGTATGTGTGCAACAAATTGACAAACGGATTGATCGACGACGAAATGAGTGAACCATCCGATCGGCGAATACTCAATCGATTGTTCAAAAAGCTGATCAATTGTGGACTTTTATCATCAAAATCGTTGCCATCCTTATCGATGACGGCCATCGACAACAAATTGCTGTCCACAAAGGCTACCATCGGATAGATCCAGACACTGAGTCTATTGTTTTCGCGAATTGCGGCCAAAATGTTGGAATCGTTGTTCCAAATGAAACACTTGGCCATCGAAACCAATTTGATGGTCTGAAATACGGTTGTATTGGTCGTCCGGACCAAAGTCAGATAGATGTCAGCATTTTTGTCGCTAAACGCACAGATCCTCTCCGACACTGGTCCGCAATAGTTGAGTGCCACACAAGTGATGTCCAATTTGTGTCGGACATCGTTTGATCCATCGTTGATCAGTTTGCCATTGGATGTGTCGATAAAGTGAATCACTTTCAGATCGTTGGCATCTCTTACAGCTATCGTATCACTGCTTAAACTGTAGTATTTTTATGGCAATTTAAAAAACAATTATCTATTAGTTTATTCTATGATAAAATCCAATTTTTAAAAAATACTTGAAGTCATCACCTGATGGTATCTGAATTCAGTGCCTCAATCCTCATACCAATCCATTTGATATTCTGGATAAGTCGGGCCTCATATGAATAGAGACCAATGTTGGTACTGTCGATCAATAGGAAGTGTCGATCGCACTGTACTATAGCCAACACACTGGTATCTTTCAGATCAAAGTGATGCGGACTCATCCAATTGTTTGTCTTATAGATGAAACACTGGCTGGTAGTGATGACAATCAAATTACTGAATTCAAACGATATTTTAATAACATAATCGCGAAACTCCAGGTCATCCTCTGAACTCGTGGTCACATTTTTGACACTAATATTCTTACGGCCTAACACTGTCACCTCATAGGACTTCCATTCGATTCGTTTGTCCACTACGTGTGCAAATATGACGTTACCATTGCCACAGGCGCCGGCTATCTGTGTCGAATCGCTGGACCAGCTCAGGCCAAATATGCTCTGGATGTGTGGCTTATCCAACGAGTACGACCAGCCATACTTGTCGCACAGTTTCAGTGTATTATACGAGCCGACGGCAAACAGCGAACCTTCTGGTGCCCAGGCCAACGATGTTATCGGATGTTCGTGTGTGGCACTGGTGAACAGTACCCGTCCGAGCGAATCCCATACTTTATACCGACGATCTTCGCCGCCCGATATTATCAGATCGTTGTTGGCATTCCAGTCCACTTTCAGTACAACACCGTCGTGTGCTTTCCAATCAATCGGTTTCGAGTTCGGGGCCAACGGTTTGATAATCAGATTCTTGTCGAACGTATAGAGAATCTGGTCGTTCTTCGGCGACCAAGCAATACAATAGGTGGGCACTGGACTTACCGACAGTGTCGACCGTAACATACCGCTCTTGGACCACACTTTTACTAGTCCGTCTTCGCCGGACGTGGCCAACGCTGATCCATCATTAGACCATTTGACTGTCAACACAGCGCCGTTGTGCGCTTCGACCGACTTTTCCAATCGACCGGTTCGTCCAACAAAGTGATACTTGCCATCCGACGCTCCGATGACGATCACGTCCGACACTTTTTGCTGTTGCAGTTGTTGTTGTTGTAGTTGTTGTTTGCTTGACTTCGGACAACAGTGAAGATCAGTCGGATACAAGTCTTTCGGCAAATCGGACAGTTTTGACGGCTCGTGTAGAGCAACGTTCCAAGCAATCAATTGGTGATCATCGCCGCTGGAAATCACTTCCTCGGGTGTCGTCCATCCGACACAACAAACAAAGTCTGTATGTATTGACAGTTAAAAAAAGAGAGAAATAAAGAAATATAATGATAGTTAAGGAAAATAAAATAAAAATTATTTATTTTTTTAATTTTATAATTTTTTTGTTGAATAGATTTAATAGTAATAACATAATAAAAAGGATATGAATTATATTTGGCGGAACATAGGTTCTGAATCTCATTTTTTTTATAAAAATTATTATTACATTTCGATAATTATAATTTTTTTAGATTTTAAATCAATTTTAATATTAAGTAATAATTTATTTAAAGTTTTCTAATATTTATAAATATATAATATATGTTACAATTATTGTTTGTTTCATATTTTGATCCCGGAGCGATACTATGGTAACTGTATGTTTTTATTATTGGAGTAGATTCTGCGATTTTAATACTACCTGTAATTAACAAATGTTATTTTTATATTAAATAACTTTTAGTGTAAAAATTACTAATTATTATTTTTAATTTATTAAAATTTATTAACTTATCTACAAATAAAATAGATATCTTAACTTAAAACTTAAATAAAATTTAAATATTAAAGTTTAGTCTAATAAAAAAAAGTCATTATTAATACAGTATTATTATTCAATATTATTATTATTAATTCATATTCATATTGAATAGAAACTAGAAAATAGTCATTTAAAAATTATTTATATAAATTAAAATAATTTAATGTAAATGAATATTATTTATTTTTAATCAATCATTAAAAGAAAATTTATATACAATTTAATGGCTATTGTATGACTATTGCTAATAATTATTATCACTGGTATTATTGAATATTTTAGTTTTTCAATTAAAAATTAGTAGATTATGTTTTTAATGATTTATTCCTAATTAATAAAAATATTTGTTATCTTAAATTAACTTTTTTTTTTTAAAAATCAATAGTAGATTATTATTATTATTAGAAATTATTTTTTTAAAAATTATACGAATATTTTGTTTTGTTTTTTTTTTTGGCAAACAATTGTCTCAATTATTTTTGTTTGTGTTTTTCGATTTTCCTCTGAATATGATTTGTCGTGTCTTCACTTGAGACCATAGAAAGCGCTTCCAATAGCAGACACATAATGTCAACGGAACCAGTATTAGTAATGCCTTCAATAGTAATGACGATAGGAGAGGACAGGGATATATGATAAAAGAGATTTAGTTATATATATATACAGTATATAATGACATATTTAAAAAAAAATGATTGATTACTGACATCGATGGACATCTTTTTTCTTAAATCGTGTTCCGGCTGTGCGGCCCAACTCAAAAAAGTGACCACATCTTTGGCCATCTGAGACTGTGTGGCCGGCGTACCGTCGGAGTACTCGATAGTTTCGTTATACAATGCCTGAGCCATTGCCGTCTGTCCGTTGCCGGCCGCAAAGTACGGATTAAAATGCATACCGTCGGACATGTGTACGCCGGCCGGCGGATCACAATAGCCGGTCAACAGCGAAAATATATAGTCCTCGTTGCCGTGTCGGGCCAGTACAATAAGACTCAAGTCGGGCGGCAGGGCTCCGTTATTGGCCAATCGGGCTGTCTCTTCATTGGCGTATGGACTGGGAAATCGGTCGAATAGTTTGCCCTCGCGGTTAAACATTTTGCCGTCGTCGCCGGGTCCGTCCTTGACCTGAATCTGGGCCGCTTCGGCCTGGGCTTCGGCTTTCGTATGCGAGACGCCGACCAGTTCACGATAGGTGACATACTTCAAGCCATGACAGGCGGCGCACACCTGTTTGTACACTTCGTAACCGCGACGGATGGCCGAGTGATCGAAACTCTGGAGAAAGCCGTTGTGTGGCCACGGATAGGGTGTCGAATGTAGCTCCAGATCGGCCGCATTTACCGATTCGTTTAGCGCATAGTATAGACCACCACAACCGCCGGCCAATACACTGCCGGCCGTTACTAACTGTTTGTATTAACAATATTATTAATGGTCAGCAAACTTACCGATCGCTGTATATTAACTAAAAACTTACCTTGATCAATTTGTATTTGAAAAATCGGTTCATTATTAATCTTACTAAACAAGTAGTATATAATATACTGACAATAAATTTATAATTTTAATGACTATATGATATGATATATAGTTAAAAAAATTTTTGTCATATACTGTATGATTATAATTAATATGTTATCAATCAATCAATCAATCAATTTGTACAAATCAATCAAAAATTAAATATCCTATATATAATTGTTATATAAAATTATTTTCTAATAACTCAATAAAAACTAAAAATCATTAAAACTAAATTTTATAAATTTTGTAATTACAATGTTGTAAAACAAATTGCTAACAAAAATATTTGTAGTTTTTATTACAGTTTCATAATTAATTTTTTTTTATATAAAATTTTTGTTTTCAAAACTATAGATACAATAGTTTTTTAAAATTAGTGCAATAAATCCTATTGGCTTTTACTTAATACAATAATTTTTATTAGCTATTAGGAGGCGCCGCCTGGCGCCAAATTGTGGCCATATTTTTTCAATTATGTTATCAATTATCTGAATTATACTAATAATTAATTAATTGTTATAAATTTATAATTATAGAAAAATTTGTATGCTTTTAATAAATAAGTAAATATTTATTTATATATATAAGTATATATATATATATAATTTTATAAACCATAAATTAACCATGATGATTGTGTGGGTGTTTTGTTGTTAATAAAATATATTATTTATTTAATAATTGAATGATTTTTTTTTAAATATAATAAATAAATTATTTATTTATTTTTTACATTTTAATAAAGTTTTCTAAATAGTATTAATTATATATTTCTCTATATACAGTATATATTATAATATATATTTACAATAAATTTTTTAAAATATTAATTAATGATAAAGTATATACATAATTATTTACTATCGTATCATTATTATTATACATCATAATGTTATTTATTAGATAAAAATTATATTATTTAGAAAAAATGATTTTTTAATAATTATTAAACAAGATTATATACAGTATATACTGTTATATATATATATAAAAATAACCAAATAGTCATAAAATATTGCATATATATACTGTATATCATTTAATTGGTAATTAATTATTATTATTATTATTATTAATTTATTAAATTTTTTTTCTGGTTGTGTGTGTGATTTTCTGCACCCGATTAGACAGAGTCGGTCCGGTTTCGGGCAATAGTACGGTTCAAATAGACTGAATAGGCGGGCGCACCGGTTATCGATACCCGAACATTGGCTTTCATTGCCTCATACAGTGAAGTCTTTACAACAATAAAAAATAAACAATATTTTTTGTGTTAATTATTGCTTAAATAATAATAATATTATTTTTTAATATATATATAAATTAAATTTATTATTGAATCGTTAAAAACAATACCTTAGACTGGATGGCCTCACGTCTACTCTTCCAACAAAACTCGATGAGCGCCACAACCATTGCCAATACTAGTCCACCAATTAGTATATAAAAGCACCCGGCTACATTGGACAGGGTTAGCTCACTTTGCGATGACTCCTTTAAAATGTATTATTAAATAATTAATTAAATACAGTATTAAAATGATGATATTATTTTACAAAACATTTTTTTTTTAAATATCACTATTAATATTGAATTAATTTTATTAAAAAAAAATTATACAAACCTTTATATCTTTAGTCTTACATTCAGACCTATCGTACCACCACTTGTTCTCCAATTTGGTCAGATCTCCACTTTCTATTAGGTTAAGTACAGCCAAATTCAGTTCAATCCTAGTGTGTGTGTGTGTGTGTTGGTAGTGGTGGTGGTGGTGCCGGTAGTTTTAAAAATAAAAAATAATAATAAATAACTAATTTTTTTTAAATATGTCTGCAGTTGCATGTAATACCTCAATGGACTACCCAATGGTGTGGCCAATCCATAGCCTTTTGCATCTAATAATATATTTTAAATTTCAGTGATATAATTGTAATTATAATTTTTAATTAATTATATAAATTTAAATAAAATTGTTGTATATATATATTATATATTAATTATTATTACCCAAATTTCTGCCGACTTTCATTGTATCACAGGGTTGGCGCTCATTGTTATAATCATTTTGAGTTGACTCTTGAGATAATAATAATAATAATAATAATAATAATAAATAATTATTTTTTAAATATAAAATTAGTTACATATGTTGTTATTATTAACATGTTTTATTTTAAATAATAAATATATGAATATATATATAAATGCACAGTATATTCAATACAAATATATTTTTTATGTAAGAAAGACAAACCTATAAGAAAAGCATATTTTCCTTTTGACTCTCTGACCCTTCGTATGCCTTCCGTATAGGAGTCGACAAACACATTGGGTTTAGCGCTCATGAATTCCCACATTCGCGAGTAAACTGTTATTTTACTTTTCTATTAAAAATACAATAAGAATATGCAATACAATTACAATACACACAGAATATTCTTTCAAACAAAAAAAAAATAAGTTTAAGTTTTTTTTCGCTGTTGTTCTTTCGGTTACTTGACTTGAATTGAATACCAAAAAAATAATATATATATATATATTTAATATAATATAATAATAGATTACATACTCTGAAAAATTCCATTGTTGACGAATATTTCAGTACACTTAACAAAATAAAATAAATAAATATATATATATATTTAAATTAAAATTTTTGAAACATTTTAATTATAATGTAATAACATTATAATTATTACATAATTAAGGATTAAAATTAATAAATATTTAATTTTAATATTTAACTATTCATTTATTACTATATAATATTTTTTTATATAAAAATACAAACAAACCCATATTCAACTTCAGTTTGTTTTGATAGATCGTCGGCTGAATTAATAGGTGTAACCATACGTTCAACCGTCAAAAAGGCGGCCAAATTGGCCGTATATGAAGAAATTATCTATAAATTATTTTTTAAAAAAATTATTAAATTAATTGAAAATGTTTAAAAATCAAACAGATATTAACACAAAATAATTATTACTATACTGTATATTATATATATATAAATGTATATAAAATCTTACAATTAGTGTGAAGAACCACCAAACAGAGCCCACTATACGACCCGAAATGGATCTATCAATTGAAGGGGAAAAATAAATTCACAAAAAATACATAATTTTTTTAAAAGTATTTTAATCGATAATAAAACATCCAACAGTATATGAAAACAGCAAATTTCCAATAATTTTAAATTTTAAGTTATTTTTTTTGGTAATATTGAGATTTTCTCTAGAGATCGATAGGTAGCAAAACCAGTGATAACATCCCCGGTATGACTGATCCTTTTTTATATTATTTACTATATGTATTGCCAATTGAACCGGGCTTTCCCTTATCTTAAATACTATTTATTTATATAAGTTATATAATGTACTGTAAAATGCAATTTAAAAATTTCTAGTCCCCTAACATAACCAAATTGATACCTCTAAACATATCATATATATAACCTAAAATAGTTTTGTATTTTCTACTAACAACTACTAACAATTGATAAGACATATAACTTATATTACATTATACAGTATTTTAAAAAAAAATAAAGTTTACTTATCTGATATAAGTAAACTTTTTAAAAAATACTGTAAAATATATTGAATGATTTTGAATGTAAAATTTAGTGCAAATTGACTAAAAAATATTTATAGAAACAGTTTCTTATTTTTTAGTCAATCTTAAACCTCTTTTATTATTATAATTTATAAAAATCATATTATAAACTATGAATACAGAGATTTGTCAATTTTTTTTTATTTATTAGAAAAAACTAAACAAATTTTTGTCTAAAAATAATCTTTTATCATAATTGCTAATTATTTATAGTAATTATTATTAAGAAATATATGGAAAAATGAGTCCTCATTAATATTTTTATAATAATAATAATAGTTAAACCTAAATAATTATAAAATATTTATTTAATTCTATTTATAATTCAATAACATATTGGTATATAATATAATGTATTTTATATACAGAAAATATACTGTATATTAAATCTGGACAAAAAAGTCATAGCGTTAGTTACACTACAGTAATAGTAGTAGTAGTTAGTATCACATGAAAACAGTTATTTTGATTTATGGCTAACATTTTATATCATATATAACCAACAAATAAATAGTAAATTTTTTATACATCAGTTGCATTATAACAGTATATATATAAAAAAAAATTATTTATTATAAGCATAGAAGAAAAATAAGATTTATGTAAATCTCGATATCAATGGTTTTCAAAACTGATTTCATCCATCAAACAAATATACCAACAAAAAAGCCTACTAATGTAACGACATGTATAGTATACTACTGTATATAATACTGTACTAACAGTATGTCTTATAAATTTATGTACACTATGTAAGCATATATCATATGTTGTATATATACAGTGATTTATATAAAGTTTATATATAAACCATTCAATATTGTTTGCATTATTTTTTGTTATCTATTTTTAAGCTAAAGAAAAGCCTCAAACAATTGGCACTACATATATATATATATATATATATATATATATATATATATATAGATATTGATACTGGGGAACTGTACTATAAAAACTATGTGTAACAGGAACTACAGTATATCATATGCTGTTTGTATTTATTGAGTATATATATATGGCATACCTGGGACATACATCACAGGATTGCTGCATTATAGCTCCCAGAGAAAACCCTACATATATAGAAAAATGATGGGTATATTAAAAAACTGTTAGTTTTTTATATATAAAAAAATAAAAGTTAGACTCAATTAAAAGTCTACTAATATTTTTTTATTGATTTTTTTTTTAAATACAGAGCGAATTATTCAGCGAAAAATCATTGGAAACTTTAGGTCCGCATAGGGTGTCCTCATAGCGCCATTCGTGGGGCGAAAAACGTGATACTAGAAACAGTACGACCGATACGCCAATATAGGACAGTATGATATAGACCCAGATTTCCTGACTGAGCGGATTCATGAACGAAAATATTCCCGGATTTTTCTTGACTGGCTTTTTGATCATAATTGATATGCCCAACGACATAAACGGTTTGGTAAAGTCAATTACCCGTTCCCTGGCACTGGTTATGGTCAACGGTGCTATGGCTATATCCGATTCCTATATTAGGATTTTTTTGGGGATTTATTTTTTTATCAGTATCAGTAATATAAATCAACAAATAACAAACAAACAAACAACAACAACAAAAAACAAACATCAATATCATAAAGCCATTACAGTTAAAAGCAATTAACATTAAATATTAATGTTAAGTGTTTTTGTGTTGTTGTTGTTGTTGTTGTTGTTGTTGGGAAACATAACATAGCAAACAATAAATTAGACATAAACTACACTTACATATATACATTATATAGATAGTTAAACATTTATATTTTGATTTTAATACTATATTTGTATATATATATATATTGATCAAAATAGTCATATATATATATGAAAATAGTCACTTACTTTCCTAATAAGCTCTCCAACCATACCGTTCCAACCACTGGGCGATTTAGAGTCTAGTCCACCATATTTTGAATCGTTAACCAACCGAAGCTCATAATTGAAGCCAACATTTTTGGCTATAGAATCGGCTAAATCTTTACAATAGCCCTCAAATCTATCGTTTCCGGTTAAGACAACACCAGATTCGGGCACTTTCTCCATCAGATATGGCTCTTCCTGTTAGAGAGAGAGAGAGAGAGAGAGAGAGAGAGAGAGAGAGAGAGAGAGATAGAGTGAGAGAGAGAGAGAGAGAGAAAAACATAATAAACAAAATAAATAAAAATATATATTATATAAAAGCAAACGATAAAAACCTTAATTAATTATTAAACATAACTAAACTAAAACATTATTTTCTCATTCGTTACTTATATTATATTTATCGTACAATAATTTTATATATATATATACTGTATATATTGATTATCCATTAACTAACAGTCTCTGAGACTTAACTTTTAAAATAGACTTTCGTTTTTTTTTATTTATCAAAAAAAACTAAAATAAAGATTTTCTTTTCTAATTAAGATTTTTGTTATATATTTTTTGTCTCAATAATAATACACCAGAAAAAAACTATATCTATATTGTCTTTGGCATTAAATCTAATTAAGAGTCATTAAAATTATTTTCAGGTATCAAACAATCACATAAAAAGACAATTATATGCTATAAAAACACAATTTGAGAGTATTTTTTGCGCTTTAATTAAATTTATTGAACTACTCTCCAATAAAAACTATTTCCTATTCAATAATAATAATTTTAATAAATTAAATTAACTATAATTGATAGACTATATTAAATAAATAAACTATTTGTATAATATATATATAAATATTTAATTATAAATTTATAAACAAAATTTTCAAATAAATTAGTTCTTAAATATTAATATATTCTGTATAAATAAATAAATATATAATTATATAAAAATATATTTTTTAATTATTAAATTTAAAAAAAACTAATACATACCAAAATACTGGTCACAATATATGTTTTGTTTTCAATATTTGACTCCTGATATATGCGCCGATACTTTCCCGGCACCAAAATCATACCGTCCTCTTCAGTCCATTCGGCAATCTATACGATGTTTGAAAACAAAAAAAAATATTATTATTATTTTCGGGTGATTACTGTGTTTTGTAGTGATTATTAATAAATATATATATATATATTATAAGACTATTTTTTCTAATAAATCATATAAATAATTAAATAAAATATCATTCATTTACTTTAGCCATTTCATGGTTAACAGTCATCTCTACGACATCTATAGAAAAGTTTCGTCTAAATCCACTCTCAATGAATGATAAATTACCAGTGAGTCCAGTGATTTCAGACTTTTAGTTTTTGTAATGATATAACAATATAAAATACAGAGAGAGAGAGAGAGAGAGAGAGAGAGAGAGAGAGAGAAACATTATATGATAGGTTATATATCAAAAAAAAATATTGATAAGATAATAAACAATAAAACATCTAAACTATAATATAAATATACTATTATAAGGAACTGTACTTTTTTGATATATTTGGCAATTTTGTCTCCATGTTCCCATATAATGACCGATTGTCGGCGACAATCAATACCTTTGGTACCATTGTTGAAGAACTCTCCTCTTCTGAAATTGTTTTTAAACAAATCCGACTTTTTCTTTAAAAGCCGATTATAAGTGTCTAAAATGACTTTTGTTGCGTCAAACATGAGGGCTGTGTCGGCCTTTTTTTAAATAAAAAATAGACAAAATATAAAAAAATATAAAATAAAATTACAAACATATAGTATTATTTTTTAAATAACAATCAATACAATATAAATGGATTATTTTTGTTTGTAACAAAAAAATTATATAATATATATATATATGTGTGTTTGTGTGTGTGGGTGAAAGATATAAAATATTGTTTAGTATGAGATTTTCAATAAAGATTTTTGTATTAAAAACATTGGTATATAAACAACTAAAATAAATACATTACAAACAAATAATATATATATATATATATTTCAGATATTATAACAAAAATAGCTTATAATAATAATAATAATACAATATAATCCTTTATTCTTTATACAATAGTACAATAATAATGGTATTAAATTATATATTAATGCAATTTAAAGCTTACAGAAAAATAGTTGGTTCCGGCTCCGGGCCATAAGCCTGGGTTCAGATTTCGCCAGCTTTTCGAAAACTGTCGAAACTCATGGCTGGTTGTCTGTAGGACACGGAATCCCGTTATATTGATGGCACCAAACTCTTGGACCTGATTGTTCCAGTAGTCATCCATTATCTAGTAATACAGTGCCATAAATGTATAACAAATTTTATTTTAATAAATATTATATATCAGTTTAGTTGTTGTTATTTTTTCACTAAACTTTTTATATTATATTTAAAAATAACTTTCAACAATATCTTAAACAATACAGTTTGTATTACTACTACTAATATTTGTTTAATAACTATAACAAAGTATATACAATATATATATATACAGTAACTCCCAAATGATTTGGCAGTAAGTGTTGTTCAAATAAACCTAAAAAATTGTGATAAACTTGAAACAAAAAAAAATATATATATACGGTATAATAGTATAAAAATAATATTACATAACATAAGACAACAAACAAAAAACTACTATACTATTGAGTGCCATAAAATATAGACCTAACCGTCAACTTTTTACTGTTCAAATGGATAAGCCATGGATGATGTTTAACAACTCTCTCTCTCTCTCTCTCTCTCTCTCTCTCTCTCTCTCTCTTTCTTTCTCTCTCTCTCTCTCTCTCTCACTCACTCACTCACTCACTCACTCACTCACACACACTTACATTTACTCGCCCACTCTTAAAAAACACATTTTGATTTATAGTAACGACATGACTTCAAGCAACTTACAAGACTAGTGAGCAAAAAATGAAAGTTTCGTCGACCCATATAAATGTCTCGGACGTGATCTATGATAATCTGTTTGGCCGTTTCGCTGTCGCAGTCAAGTATGACATACTTTTTCGACTGACTGTCCGATAGTTCCAGTGCATGAAGAAATTGGTGGGCATCGGTAGCATTGACTATACGTTTGACGGCTCGTATTTCAAGTGTATAGTTATCGTTAACAATGGAGAAAATGTGCTGCAATTTCATTAAACCTATTAATTTGTTGCAATTTTTTTTTGTTGGTTGAATAAAAAATATATATATTATTAGTATTATTATTATAAGTGAAAATTACTTTTTATTATTATATAATGCTTTAGTACTTTTATATTAGCAGATAATATTACCAGTAAATTATAATTATTTTATGTGTGGTATTACGGTATATAATGTATATATATATATATATATATAAAGCAAATAAAATCATTTTCTATTATATTATTTAACATTATCTATATGATATTATAGTAACTAAAAAATTATTTTTATAATATACACTATATTATTATATGTAAGACTTAACTGTTAGTATATTTCAATTTATTTTTATGTCTTATTTCTTATATTATATATATTTTTCTCTTTTTTTTCTCAAAGGTATCACATTTTCAATATAAGAAATTACATATGAATTAAATATAACATATAAAACAAAGTCGACATATATATATATATATATATATATATAAGAATTGTTTAAATAATATAAAAATAAATTTTGTATCATTTTTTATAACATGTTTTTCAATTCTTATCACAGAATAATATATTTAAACAAAAAAAATTGTTTTCAAAAACTAAACTAAAAAAATACTAATAATAAAAGATGACATAATTTTTTATGCCATATATTACCGGTATATATATACGGTATTTATAAATTATGTTTGCTAATATGAAACCTATTTACAGTGGCATTTAAAAAAATAATATCTACAATAAACAGATTGTTTTATATATATCTAAATATATCTTTATATACAGTATAAATATGTGTGTGTTTATATGAGACCAAAAAAATAAAATAATAATAATAATACAAAAATATGTTACAAATGACACAATAAGATAACAACAAATAAATAGAGAAAAAGAGAAAGTCATTCAAATCAAGAGTGCATTACTGGTAAATCATATATATATATATATATTAGACAACTGTTTATATTGTTTAGTGCCATAAATATTATGACAATACATGTGTTGCGATATAAAAATTCTTGTTTTCTGAGGTTTCAATTCTGTAAGAGATTCTTGTATTGTGAGTGAGTTAGTGTGTGTGTGTGTGTGGGCTTATAAAGACATTATTTGATAATAATAATAACAACAAAAATGTGAAAACACCATAAAAATTATTGTTAGGGAGGAATCAGTTTTATGTGGTGACCCTAACAATAGTCTCCATAACATAATAATAAAAGCCGTGTAAAGTCATGATAAATATTTTGATAATTGTATTGTTGTATTGAAATATAATACTTTTCTGTATACTGTATTATTTGGTAATGTTTTATGTATATATATATATATATATATATATATATATATCAACAAAAAGCAAACTATTTGTATTTTATTAAAACAACAACATTATGATTAACATTTTTGTTGTTTTTGGCTAAATGTCCGTTTAAATTAATATTAATTGTATCGAAAATTTCAAACACACACATACACATACATACATGATATGCAATAATGATAATTAGCAACCGTATCATATTGTTATTATTATTATTATTATTATTATTATTATTATTATTATTATTATTATTATTATTATTATTATTATTATTATTATGTTACTCTATTTAATTCAAGTCTATTATACAATATTGTAATAATGAGATTATATGTGACACATAAATTTAAGATTATATTCCTAATAATATACAGTACACTATATATATATATATATAGTATATATGATTATAATTTACAATATATATATATATATATATATATATATATATGTATCTATATATGATATATAAATTTCTATATAAATTCAATATACTATAATAAATAGTTGTAATGTATATATATTCTACAGTATATACACTCTGCTTATATGTATGTGTAAAGTACAGTACATATTCAGCACTAGTGGTATTACCTAAATATTATACTTCTGATTACTACTATATATGTAAACTGTATAGTAATGCCTATTTAGTGTTATAATCATATATATATATATACTACTACTAGTAGTAGTAGTAGCTGTAGTAGTGATCACTGATAAAAGATTAGCCCTAAAGAAACTAAAAGACACAACCAATTTGGTATCAAATCTATCTATTATTTTTGTAGCGACAAACACATACAGGAAAGTCAAATTAGTTGGTCGGAGCCAAACATATAAATTTATATACAATACAATTGTATATATAATTGACTTTTGTTTTATATAACATACGCTATTATTATTATTATTACTATATATATATATATATTGAGTATTAGTGTTGCCGTTTTTGTCCCAAAACCCCCAATCTTGTCACGTCTTGTTAATAAATTGCATATAAATTACATAAAATTTATTAAATTTTAAAATTTTTCTGTTAATATTACTAATAATTAATTCTAATTAACAGAAATTTTCTAAAATTAAATAATTTTTATATATATTGTAAAATGAAATTTATAAGCAATAAAGTCGAGATCTTGTAAGCGAGGTTTATAAAAAAAATTAATTAATTTTAGCAATAATTTATTATAACTCTTAATTATTTATTTATTTATTTTTTTAATATTCATTATAGTTAAAAAAAATAAAATATTTAAATAAAATTTATAATTAATTAATTATTATTAATTATTATTAATTATCATTAATTATCATTAATAATTAATATTAACTATAATTATTAAATAATTATTTAAAAATAAATTTATTAGTATTATTAAGACCAAGATCTTGTTGGACAACACTATTCATTATATAATAATACTTAAAACAACTAAAAATAATAGCTATTGTAGATAAACGAAAACAATAATAGTATAGTAACTGTTTAGTTGGCTAATCTACTACTAGTATATAATATAATAGATTAAAACATAATAATGTATTTTTTTTATTATTAATTTAATTAAATCTTAATACAGACATAGACACACAAATCACACACACACACAAAATAATAATGAAAAATAAAATTATATCATTTATTTTTACAAATTAATAAATAAATTATATTAAATAAATATATAATTGATACTACAATATTAATTAAAAAAAATAAATAATTACCAATTAAATTATTATAAACTTCTAATAAGTTATAAGTTATATATTATATATATGATATATAAATTAATTATTAAATAACAATAAAAAATACTGTATAAATTTTAAATTAACCCTTTTCTAGACATATAAAACAGATTTTTAGACTACAAATAATAACTATAAATAACTATATATGGTTTTAATGTAATATAATATAATATATATATATCTGAAATCAATTTACATAAAATACTAATAATAACAGACTCTATCGTTTAATACCAGTTTCAATGGCATATTTATTGTGTGCTTTAAATAAAAATTTCAATTTATATTGATATCATTGAATATCATTTATGTATAAAGAAAAACATGAAATGTCTGGAATTTTTTTTAGACAATTTTTATTTTTATACAAAAATAAATAAATAAAAAAATTTAATATATTATTTAAAAAACACATATAAACTACCAGTCATTATATATATATATATATATATATATATATGTTTGGGGTTTAAATATCAATAGTGAAAGTGGATTTTGATGTTCACAAATGACTCTTGAATTTCTGTATAAATTTGTAATGTGTTTCACCACAAAAATATACAATATATATATATTTAGTATACAATAAAAACCAGATATTAATGTTATTTAACTTATAGTTATATATGCTTGAGATATGTTGTATAAAATGATATTTATTTAATAATATAAATACAAATATATAATTTTTTGTTGTTGTAGTAGTAAAGCAATATAAACTATAAAGTTGAATATATGCTGGATAAAATTATTGCCCCACAAAAAAACAAACTTCTAATTGTATGTTTGATATGTCTGTTAAATGTTTATATTTTACTCACCCATTCATATATTTCAATACTAAAAACTTTTAAATATTTATACAATTTCATATAAAACTCAATCAAATAATAAATATTAGATACATACTAAATTTTTAGACAATCAAATTATATATATATATATATTATTTTGATCTTGTCTAATTGCTATAAATTTAAAGTCAAAAAAAATTAAATTACAAAACAAATAGACAGACAGACAAACAAACAAACATACAGATAGATTCCAGATAACAAACGCGACCAAAAGTTTGTTGAAAAATAAGTAAATAATTTAATGTAAAAAATACTTTTTTTAAATCTTTTTTATCAATAATAAATAAGATATAAATATTTTTATAAATACTGTGTGTGTATGTGTGTATATGTGAGTATATGTGAGTGTATGTGTGTGTGTGTGTGTGTGTGTGTGTGTGTGTGTGTATGTATGTATACTGTATATACCGTATGTACTGTATATTTAAATAGTGAAATATAAAAATAAATATATTTTTATATTTACATAAACTGTAGACAATTTTTAGTGATAAACTACTAAACGATATATATATATTATGATTACATACCGTCATCGCTCTGATAGATATAGATTATGGTTTTCCAATCGTAAAACTTGATAACATCGACTATTGCCGGCAAATATCTGGGTCTCATTGATATACCATAATCTGCATGTTTAACATCCATTGTACGGCTCATACCCAAGTGTACAAAAGGCATCTATTATATTGATATTTTTGTTTAGCACAAAATTTATTAGACAAATTAGATGTCAACAAATAATTAGGTAATAATAATAATAATAATAATAATAATTTTGACAATTGATTGGTTTGTAATGTCTAAATAGTATTAATAATGGTATTAATGAATTTTGTTACCTGAAATATGTTTGAATAGGAAACTAGTGTTTCGTAGGCGTGACCGATGATAGGCGATACCAGACTGAAGACACCGCGACTTAGTTGAAGACATACTTTAATAGAAGAAAAAAAATTAAATAATAATAATAATAATTGTGATAATATTATTTTATAGCAACTAATATGCCCCTACACTTTCATAATATTTGCATAATTTTGTAATTAATTTATTCAAACTGTTATATAATAAAACTAAAACTCAATTTTTTCCGCTAAACTTTTTTCTCTCGTTAAGATATCATACCTTTAATTTCTTATAAGTATAGTATAGTATATATAATATATTATATACTATATATATATATATAGGGTTACCATTTGGGAATAGATTTCCTATTTATTTTTTTTGGCAATAAATTCAATTCATGGAAAATAAATTGTAAGATATTTATTAAAAAAGATCTTTAATAATAAAGGTTATCAAAAGCCAGTGTATTGTCAGTACATATACTGTACAATATATATATATATATATATATATATATATATACTGTATATATATATATATATGGTATTAAATACGGTATATGTTTGTGAATTAAAAAGCCTCAAGTGATATGAGAGTGAAAAAAAAGTTTTAATTTAGTTCATGTTTTTCATTAACTTTAAATATATATATACAGTATATAGAAATCATAGTTTGAATTGAAAATTTATTTTTTTCATAAATAAAAATAAATAAAATTCAGTGCAAAATCAAATTTGCCGAAATTAGCAATTTTAGTGTCAACTAATAAATAATTAAATAATAAATTATATATATATACAGTAACGTCTATTTTATGGTAACATATGGTCAATAATTTATTATAAATATGTGTTTTTATATTATACATTATATGTTTATATTAAAAAATAATTTAGATTAATATGCAATCATAAAATGACAAAATATAATATTAATAATTCATAAGTTTTTTCTCTCTCACTCTTATAAGTATATCGTTTTAATTTGTTTTGAATAATATCATCACATGTTTAGATTGGTGTTTAACAAACTAGTAATTTATCATAAATGATCTTATATTAAAATACATGTATATATAATCTAATATTTTATATACATATATGTATATAATACGATATATATATGCTTAAAACTTTTATAATATATATATTTATTTATTGATTGATTGACATTTTGTATGATATTTCCTATAGTCGATGCTTTCAGAAAAATACTGATAATTTGAATTTATATTATCATCAAAAAGTGGTGTTTGACTTAAGTCAATTTGGTTGTGAATTAGTAGGACTGGTAGTAGTAGTAGGAGTAGTAGTGATACACACTATTTATTAGACCATTGATTGAAAGAGGATGATTGCACCCAAAGGGATGATTGTGTGTGTGTGTGTCGTATATGTGTTCAATGAAATTGCATGTTATGATGATATGATGGCACAGTCAGTAAATATATAAATGTATTATAACTTATGATATATATATATAAGAGGCACTGGTAGATGTGATTAACTGTATTTGACAGGTCTTAAAATTTCTGATGGATGAACAATCGTAGCATTTTATATATACAATATAATGTGTACACTCTTTAACTCAATGACATACCATTATCTCTCTCTCTTTCTCTCTCTCTCTCTCTCTCTCTCTCTCTCTCTCTCCTGTCGTCTACCTAACCTAACTAACGGTGCTTTTAAAAAATAAATAAACGGTTAGTCGAATTAAAAAGCTAACACATCAACGTTATATAATATATATTAATACATACATAAGCTGTGTGTTTGGCATACAAAACAGCAATTTTTTATTTATTTATTGTTGTTGTTGTTAGTTTTAAGTAAATTATTAGACAATTTTTGTTATATAAAAAAATCATTTTTTAAAAAAGACTAAAAAATGTTTTATCTCCTTTACTCGAGAAAAAAACCTAATAATAAAAATATGAAATTATATAATATAATGACTAAACTATAACATAATATTATATAATACTGCATGTAATACAATATATAATATCTTATGGTTGACTAAATCGATCAAAACTTAAGTGTAGAAAACTTTTTTTATTTTTGGTTGAGTTTTATGTAATTTTTATATACAATATACTGTATATAATTCAGATATATATATATATATAATACATTATATATATCTGAATTATGTTGGTATAACATTTAGCTATTGTTGTTGTAATGAGACCCGGGAGACACTACCAGAGTGACTACCAGTGCTACAGTACTGGTAGTAGTAGTAGTAGTAATAGCATATGGTATCACATATTTATTTTTTATCAAACGTTTCAATGTCTTACACCTAAACACCAGAAAAGTATTGACAGTGAAAAACTGCAAACACTTTGTTATTGTTGTTATTATTATTATTATTGTTTGTCCTTTTTTAAGGATTAATCTTAATATGTTTTTTAGGTCTTAAACTAGTGTGTGATAAAACAATAGGCAATATATATATATATAGTATAGTATAGGAAACTAAATATCTTTTTAAATTTTTTTGTTTGTTAAATTGTCTCATTGTTATAATTTATATTCATATAATTTTATATATTAAAAGATTACATTAACTTAATCTATATATCGTTATATATCGGTATAATGTATAATATTTATTACAGTGTATAATATATACAGTATTAGATATAAATATTTTATTCAACATAATTGTTTAATGTATAAAATTACATTATTTAACACAAAAAAAAATAAATAAAAATTTTATTTTATTAGATATGTTAGCTTAAGTATATTGAATAGTTTATATACTGTATATCAATAGAAATTTATACATAATAATAAATTGTTATACAATAATATTAGTATTGTATTAGAGATATTAATATGAAAACATGAAAAACCATATTTCATATTTAAAAACATTTTTTTTTTGGTTATATGAATGGAAACAATGAGTTGTTTTTATGGATTGGAAAAATGAGTTTAAATAAAGAGATGATACAAGAAAAGGACGACTTAATGATAAAGAAAGAAAGAAAGAAAGAGAGAGAGAGAGAGAGAGAGAGAGAGAGAGAGAGAGAGAGAGAGAGAGAGAGAGAGAGAGAGAGAGAGAGAGAGAGAGAGAGAGAGAGAGAGAGAGAGAGAGAGAGAGAGAGAGAGGGAAAGTAAACATTAATTTTGATTATCAAAAAAATAAGACTTCAGTTTTTCAACTGCAAACATAACTGAATATACACTACTGTTTGGATATATATATATATATATATATATATATATATATTAAATATAATAAACGGTTGATGTTTAAAGAAGTATCGGTTTGTCATACCATCAGTACAGGGATTGTCATATTATGAACGCAATTGTGAACAAATCAAATGCCTCTTAAGTGAAATCATGTGTAAAGAAAGAAAGAGAGAGAGAGAGAGAGAGAGAGAGAGACCAAACATATGTCTTATTATTTATATATATATATATATTATGTTTAAGAGATATACATTACAACTCAGTCATACATAACATTCATATGATAGTTACAGTTAGTCATTCATACAACTGGATTGTATTTAATATAACTACTGATGTCTATTGTCGACATAAAACTATATGTTATATACAACTATATGTCAAACAGTTTGCTATTATTTTCTGTTACAACTAAACTATTGTTATTGTCAACATGTCTATCATTTTTATTTTAGGTGACCCCCACTCCCTAATTTTTTTAGCTCATCAAAACTATATTTACTGATAAATATATATATATATACAGTATAGTCATCACTGGTTTATTATGTGCAACCGATTAGTTCAATGATAACCATAACATTTTTTTGTTGCCACTAAATGTCATCAGTATTTCTTTGCCCATCATTTATAACAATAAAAAAAGCAAAGTTTTATTTGTGTGTTTGGTTTGGAGTTGGAAACAAATACCCAAAAAAATAAAACAATGAAAAATAATTTTTTTTATATATATTAAAATAAATGACTAGAAGAAGTTAATACTAGTAAATGAGTTAAATAAATATATATAAATTTATATATATATATATATATATTGGAGACAATTGTCATTAAAACAAAGTGGTTGACTTATTATTATCACTTTGATAGCTAATAAAATTATTATTGCTAAATAAGTATATACTATTATAAATTTATATTATCTATACATTTGAAAGACACATTTTTAATGATAAAAAATTTCATTTTATTTTGTTGTTGAAACTATATTATATTTATTATAATATACTGTGTATATATATAAAGGTTAACCAAACAACAACAAAAAAATAGATTAATAATAATTGTTTAAATAAATAACTAAATACTATAACTATAAAAATAATTAAATAAAATATGACTTACAGGCGCGGCTGACTTTGAATGGGTCGTCACTATCGACAACATCGATGACCGGTTCCACTTTGAATCGGGACAACGACTCGTTTGAATTATGCAAATGTATGGCATATTTGAATACAGTCTGTATTTCCGGATTACTTTCCGTAAAGATAGCACCTGTAGTTAATTATAATTATAGTCATATATTGTAATATTATTGTAATCTTAATAGTTTGACACATAATATACTTATTTTAATTTAATAATTATTATTATATTGATATTATAATACAGAATATACAGAATATTCTGTGATTATGTTTATGGATTAAAATTTTTGTTTGTAGTATTTAACACATCAAAAAATTATTTAGCAATATTAAATTATATATTAAATTTTTATTGTTTGTATTTTTATGATTTAATATATATTATAATTTTTAACAGCAAAAAAACAAATAATAATAATAATAATAATAGCTTAAAATTTCAGCACTGTTTAGTGTTTAGTAAATTGTAATAAATTTAAAATACAACAAACAGAAATTGTTTTTAGTTGCAATAAATTTTGAAAAATTTTTGTTTTTAATTCTGAAATTTATATTATTATTATTATTATTATTATTATTATTATTATTATTATTATTATTATTATTATTATTATTATTATTATTATTATTATTATTATTATTATTATTATTATTATTATTATTATTATTATTATTATTATTATTATTATTATTATTATTATTATTATTATTATTATTATTATTATTATTATTATTATTATTATTATTATTATTATTATTATTATTATTATTATTATTATTATTATTATTATTGTTTATCATCAAATAGTTTTACTTAATGTTTAAATTTAAATGATTTTGTATACAAGTTACATAAAAATTTATACAATTTATTTATATTAATTTAGTAATGTATTATAGAATATAAACTGTATGAATATATTTATCATATGATATAAGTTATATGATATTATGTACATTATTTAATATAATATTATGAATATTTTTTAATGAATATATGATAAGCCAAATGCATTAAACAAATTTGTTATATTATATTATTAGAGTCAAACATATAATGTTTAAATGATATTTACATATCTTATCTTATTTTAAAAAACAAATAACAAAAAAATATTTATATGTAAATTATATATATACTGTACTGTATGTAAATTTATAATAGGTTTAACTTAATATACCTCGTTAATTGAATTTATTGATTTTAATATTAAGCAAATATTTAAAATACAAATTAATATAAATGATATGATATGATATTTTATTAGATAAATAATAAAAATATTATCAATGATTTATTAAAATTACATAATATTTATATTAATAATTTTAAATATTATTTTTTTAAAAATTATAAATAACTTTTAATATTGTTTAACTATTAAAATTCAATAGATATTTTATTTATAATATATAATAGTGTATAAAATACAGTATATATTTCATATATTTAACATTATAAACTTTTACTATTATTTTGCTTTATATCGAAATAAGACTAATACTATTTTATTTTTTTTAAATATAATTATACTGTATTATAACTATCTATTTATTTTATATTAAAAAAATATTATAATTATACAGTAATAATACTACTATTACTAATAATAATAGACTAACCGATTGGTATCTTTTCTGGCAGTTGTTGTTGTTGTTGACCACCTCTGCTGCCGCCAACACAACAACAATATTTTAATGATAATAATATAATAAATGATATAATTTTGCCCACTAAGTGATTACTGATTGGATTCATTTGCTGTTATTTTTATTATATATTATTATTATTATTGTCAGAGAGTCTCTTAAATCCAATGACCAACTAATCACTCAAATTAAAATACATAACAACTAATTGAGATAAAAGTTTTAGTATTGATATAGTAATACACTTTATAAACAAAATACAGTACTGAGTGTTGTGTTTCATATACTGTACAGTAATTATATGACACACTGTTGTTGTAGTAGTAGTTGTTGTGACAAAAGTTTTTGTATTTTTTGATTACATTTGACACAACTATTAAGTGAGTTATCTTTTTGACGACATCAACACACATACACACAGATATACACACACCGACACATGAAAATTCACTGTTTTACGGTCGCAGCACTGGTAGTTAGATAATAGTAAAGTAGTTAGTGATGTACTACTATTGATGATGATGTTGCCGATGATGTTGTGCGGCAACAGTGATGCCTAACACTGTCTTCTAACTATAGTAATGTTTTTCACATGAGATGCTCAGGACTTTTTGGTTACTGTGTGTATGTATGTATGTATATATGTGTGTGTATGTATGTATGTGTGTGTATGTGTGTGTATGTGTGTGTGTATGTGTATGTATTTATGTGTGTGTGTGTATACAGTATGTATGTATTTATGTGTGTGTGTGTATACAGTATGTATGTATGTGTGTGTGTGTGTGTGTGTGTGTTGTGTGTGTGTGTGTGTGTGTGTGTGTGTGTGTGTGTGTGTGTGTGTGTGTGTGTGTGAATCGACTCGCAAATCATATAACTGTGCGCATCATAGAAGAAGTCATACATACCTATTGACTAACCAACAGTTTTATGGTCTTTCAACAACAAAAAATATAATAATAATAATAATAATATATAAATAAATATCTAGAGATTTGTGGATAACTTTATTATATAGTATAAAACAAACGGTTAGAAAGAGAGAGAAAGAAAAAAAATATATAGTAGTCTTATGGTTTGGAATATTATTGTAAGCTATTATTGTACTGTAAATAACAGTTATTTCTTTTTTTTTTGTTAAATATATTTTTTGATAAATATTTTTGTTTCATATAATATTATATTTGATAACTTTTATAAAGACATAGAGACATACATAAACAATTGTCTAATGAAATACACATTTATTACATTAAATGTTTATCCATAGCCTCCCATTCCCTCATTTCCTTAGAGAAAGATGAGAGAAAGAGAGAGAGAGAGAGAGAAAAAGAGAGAGAGAGAGAGAGAGAGAGAGAGAGAGAGAGAGAAAGAAAGAGAGAAAAAAAACTCAAAACAATACATCAAATGACTTAACTTCTTGTCTAATAAATTTTTGTTTTGTTTGTATCATTTGAATTATAAGTCAAAGATAATAAACTATATATAATATAATACTATAGTATTTATACTTTAAATATACATAAAACTAATTAAACTTTAATAGAAATTCAAATAATATAAAATTACTTTATATTCTTACGTATTATTAGTTGTTGTTGTTATGACTTTATAAATATACAGTTAGTTATACCTGTTTAGAAAAAAAATAAATAAATATTTAATGAATTTCTAATTTTGTTACAAATTTAATTTAAATATTTTATAATTTATCAATTGATAAAGTGTTATTAAATAACATATATTTAAATTAATTTTGTTTTCAAAAAGTGTCTAATGTATTATTAATAAGGTTTTACTAAACTTTTTAGACTTTAATCGAAAATATAGTTAAATTTTCATAAATAATTTATATTACTTTCAATAAATATTAAATAAACTAAAATTAATACTAAACTTTATTAAATTTTTATTTAAATTTTTATAGTATTATACTGTATTAAACTGTAATTAATTTGTTTATAATTATTACTAGTAAATATAATTATTTGATTTGCTAGAAATAAATACAAGTATTAATTATTAAGTATTGAGTATTAAACTGTAATATAAAAAATATCTATAATATTTTTTTTTTAAAAATAAAATAACTAAATTGAAAATAACAAAATATTTATTAGTATTTATTAATAATATTTCTTACAAATTAAATATATTTTATATAAATATCATAATTGATAGATTTATAAAATTAAAACTGTTATAAATTAATTAATTAATTAATTAAATATCAATATAAATATAATGATATATAATATAATAACAAATAATTTAGTTAAATAAGTATTTATTGTTTATTTTACACATAAAAAACAATTCTAATATTTAATTCATATATAATAAATAAATACAATACAAATAGAGTATAATTTTATTTTAAATATTCATCTATAAATATACATTAAATAATATCAATAACTATACTATATTTTTGACATTACATTCAATTTGGTAAATGTCTTCAAAAAAAATAAAAGGTAGTATTTTACAAAAAAAATATATCATAATATATTTAAACATTTTAAAAGATTATTTATTTATGGATTTTCTAAATAGAAATTTAAAAAATAAAAAAATAAAATCCATTTTTTAGATATAATATTACAGAAATAATATCGACATAAATGTCTTTATCTCAAACAATAATAACAGATTTCAATACTTACTATAATTTTGTCATTTTTTTGTTGCTTTTTGTTTGTTTGTCTGATATGTAATATTTGAATCTCAAATAAATAGGTAGAAAAAAACTCTTCAATAATAACAACAACTAAAATATATTTTTTTTGTATCAATAATATTATAATATTACATAAAATTCTACAAACATTTCAAACGAGTATTATTGGATTTTCAATGCCTTTTCCGGTAATATTTCCAAAAAAAGTTATATAAATATATTTTTTTGCTTTTTGTGTCAAATTCACACTAATTTCTACTATAATATAGACTATCTTTGAACTCCTTTAGGAATAAAAAAAATTTCCTCTCTCTCTCTCTTTTCTCAATTTTTGTCATATAATAAAAGCAAAAATAAAATAAAAGACAAATATATATATATATATATATATATATAAACTTATAACTTAGATATATTTATTTATTCAATATATAAATAATAGTAGTAAATATATCGATTATTTTTTCGTTTAGACATTGATTTTCTAATTTAGTCTTAAACTTGTTTTTTATTTCAATTTTATTATTAAATTTTGTTGTCCATAAAATTGATGTTTGATTGCTTTTAAAAAATAATATATATATATATAAAACCCATATCATTCATTATACAGTATTATAGTGGTCTATATAAACTTTATATTATAAAGTACTGTATATACTGAACTAAATTATACTTTTATAGTGAAATGATAGTTAAATATTATTTATTGAATATTATTAGACTAATAGACTAAACAAATGAGACTATACTGTACTGTATCGTAATAACTGTGTGTTTAAAAAAAAGTAATGATAATTTAAAATTTCAATATATGTATTCTACTATAAAATATAAGTTATTGATGTATAAATATATTGGAAATGGTAATGTATAAATAAAAATGTATGTTTTCTTAGATTTTTTTTAAGTATAAATATTATACTGTATATACATATAAACTACAGCACTGGTAGATAAAAAAAACATACAGTGGCATCATTTGCCTAACATTTTTTTTAAATATATATATATATATATTAAGTATAAAACTATTCTTCAAGTAATAGTAATCCGACCGCAACTTTGTATTTCCTGTCAGATGGAAGTCATGGAAACACTTCCTGAGATGATAGGTCTCTCTCTCTCTCTCTCTCTCTCTCTCTCTCTCTCTCTCTCTCTTTGATCACTCACTTACTCCTCTCAAAAAAAACAATCATAAGAAACTGATACACAAATACACAGTTTGTCTTTTAAAAAAAACTATCATTTAATGGTTATGTTGTTGTTGTTGTTGTTGTTGTTGTTGTTGTTGTTATTGTTAACAACAATTTATAGATAACAAAAAAATCAATTCAAACATTTTTATACATACATATAGTTTGTGTGTATAGAAATTAATATTATTAATATATTACTAATTATAAAATAATTCAAAATTATTTAGCAAAAGAAAAATGATATATTCTATAATACCTAAACTATTTTTATATATAAAAAAATTATATTTAATATATTACTATTATTATTGAATAAAATTTTTTTTATTATCTTATAAATAATTCTATCTGAAATAAAAATATTTATAGCAATAATAACATATTTATTATACAGTATTTTTGTATTCAATAATAAAACCTACTTTAATATACACAGATATTGTATGCAATTTATGCATAAACTAATAAAATTGAATAATTCAAATGATCATACATTTGAATATTTTTTTTTGATACTCTAAACTAAACTATGACTTTTACATTTAAAATTTATTTTTTGAAAATTTTTATTGATTACCTAGAAATTTAATATTATTCGAAAAATTGCTATTTTTATGTAATTTAATAAAATAATACAATTTTATGAAAAATATTTAATAAAATATATATAAAAAACTCAAATATCTATTACATTACTCAATGTTTATCATTACACTATCTAAGCAATAGTTTTCAAAATCACATTTAATTGAAAATGATTCACAAAAAATAAATTATTTTCAATTTAGAAAAATAATTGAACAGAAATTAAATTTTTATTGTTTGTTTGAATTTATTTTCTATTAATTTTACGCCGTATTTACTGTAAATCATTTATTATTATATTAAAAAAAATTGTGCAATAAATTTCCAAATAATTATTTATAAAATCATTTAAATTAATTGAATTAAAAAATAATTCAATTTTTGAAATTTTTAATAAAATATTTATTAAAATCCAATTTCTTATTTCTAAAAACAAATTCTGTATATTTAATAATTAATAAATTTAAAAAATCAAAATTTTATCAAAATATTTTATTATATTTTTTATTTTGAATTACAAATACTGTTTATTCAAAATTCAAATTAACTATATTTAGTTTTTTAGTTATTACAATTTTTAAATATTCAATATATTTACGCTATATATATAATATAATTTTTATACAAAATTATTATTATTATTTTTAATTTTCAATTTATTTAAGCATGCTTTAAGTATAGTTAAATATAGTTAAGTTGAAAATAATATATAAGTTAACATTTACCTAATTAGTTATTTTTATAAAAAAAATCTTATTTAAGTAAATTACATAACAATTTTCAAATATCATTAAAACTATTACTTAGAAAAAACTAAGAAAATTGCCAAACAATAAAACATAAAATTAAATATAAATAAATAGATTTAAATTATATATATATAAATCTTTTATAAATTATTATTTTTTAAAAAAAAAGTTATTATTATAAATAACAAATATATTTGGAAACAACAACTTTGATTTGTTTTTTTTCAGCCGTAATCATAAAATTATAATTTTCATAAAAATTTATACACAACACAATAACAACAAAAAAAAGTTATTATAATTTATTTATGAATTGATTGTGTCTTTTTAAATAATTAAAAAATAAAAACAATATACTACTGTCAACCAAATATAATAAATATATCAAAAAAAATAATAATAATTAATTGATAACACAATATAAATGATCGATAGATTGATTAATTTGAAGGATCTCTCTCTCTTTCTCTCTCTCTCTCTATCTATCTATCTATGAAGTGATACATTCGGGTGAACCTTCTTCCGAGTCGGTGTCACTATCGCTGTCCTCACTGTCATCGTTGTTGTTGTTGTCGCCGCCATTGGTTTCTATATATTTACATATATAACAGATTCATAACAGATATTATTATTAGATCACCAGAAATAACATCAACAATGAGATCGACAAAAATCCTAAACCAATAACTATTTATAATATATAATATAATACCATTTTGTCGGCGTCTCATATGTCGGTTACGTCGTCTCATATGACTGATGATCGAGTAAAGCATAGCCGCGTCTATCGATCCGTCCACGCGGTCAAAGACCTGGCCGTGGCGTTCAAATCGTCGCTGTGTTCGTCGTCTTTCTTTAATATTAACGCAAATACGCTGTCATTTGTTTTTAAAAAGTAAAATTATAAAACTTTATTATTATTTGTTTGTTTGTTGAGATTATTGAATTTTTTTAGGTTTTTATATCTTTTAAACCTGTTTAATGCCTTTCATAGTTTGCGGCCATTCGTTAGCCGACGGAACCCATACTTTGACATCATCGTCGAGACCCGATGTGGCCATTATCGGTGCCGTTGGATGCGGTTCTATGCAATTGACCTGAAAAAAATACATACATATATTACGGATATAATACATTAATAATAGATGTATATCAACGTACGACTCCATTTTCATCGGCATACAGTGACATAACGATATGTTGTGTCTGCACATCCCAGCCATAGACGTAGCCGTCATCGCTACCGCTGACGACAAACCGGTCGCCAAACCACGAACAGCCCTTAACAGTAGCATTGTTGCGATGGCCGGTAAACTGATGCTCGACGGCACCGGTTTTCGTATCAAACGTATAGATATCTTCGTCGTTATAGGTGGACAACAGTCGATCGCCGGTCGAGTTGAACTGACAACACGTTACCGAATGTTTTGTTTCGGTCAACTTTTCGGGACATAATTTAAGCAATGGTTTGTCCGGAGTGGTTATCGTATTGAGATTTGGCTATAGTTTTTATATATAAAAAAAATTAACAAAAAATAATAATAATAATAATAATAGATATTATACCAGAAATCGTCGGTCATATATGCGGACAAACGGATCCATTCCCGAGACGGCAAAGTGAAACGGATTGAACAATTGGTTTGCATGTATTGAATACAGTCGTACGCGCTGTTGGTTATCATTCCTATAGTTTTTTTTAAATATTAATAGTCATAAACAAATTGATTAAAAAAATAAATAAAATAATTCAATTGATTGATTAATAAAGAACTAATTAATATTTATTTATAATCAATAATTATAATAAACTAATAATAAGACTCTATTATCTATAAAAAAAAGTTTTGATGCACTAATAAATTATATGAATAAAAAAACTTTTATCGTAATTATTTAATCAACAAAAAACACTATAGTCTATGAAAATGTCTAATAATAATAATTATTGCCAAATAATTTCAAAAATTTCTCATATACTTAGCTTTTAGTTTTTTTTTAACTAATCGTATGATATAAAACTGGTTTTTTATATAAACTGATTAAAATGAAAACATGAAAATAGATGTTAGCATTAATATAAAAAAAATTCATACTATTATACAGTATATATTATTTTGACAATTAAATCGCATAAAAGGAGGCTATAAATAGGTCTATCAATTTATATGTAAGTATAATATACTCATACATTCAATGTACAGTAATTATTCTATTGTAAAACTTATTGTCAAAATATCTTATAAAAGATAATTAGCTATAAATAATATTAAACAATATATATAAAAAAAATAATGAAATATATATATTTAACTTATTACTGATAGATAAAAAAAATAATTAATCTAATAATATACTTATTAACTGATTACCATTCATGGCTCGTAACCAAACATATAATAATATAAAGTATATGAAGATTAATATCAATTTTAAAAATATATAACTCTTTATGAATTATCTTTTGAAATAAATATTTTCAAAATGTTTGATATCATAATATTATTATAACCGTAATATTGATAGCAATCATATGCATAAAAAATAGTTTATTTATAGTTATTTATAGCTACAGTATACTGTCTATCAAAAATAGCACTCATTAACTATAAATAAAAAATTTAATTAAAAACAAAACCTAAATTTTAAAAAAAATATTTGTTTTGATAATTACTTGACAGTTAATAGTTTCGTTGGTTTGTTATCTCTGAGATCGATCTCGAAGACCACACTGTCCTCACCGCAGGTCAGTATGACATTTGGCGCAGTTAGCGACAGTTTATGTGCGGCACCTTTATGTTGGGCTAACTTATTGGACACCGTAGTGCCATTTCGATGAACGTTACATATTCTGACCTGACCGTCGCGGGCGCAGCTTACGATGTGATGGCCATCGGCGCACCAACGACACTGAAATACGTTGGATGAGTGACCTAAAAAAATAATTTAGTATATATATGGGAACTACAGTATATATATATATATATATATATATATATATATATATATACAGTATATACATATATATTAGCGCACAGTTACCTGTATGATATTTTTGAACCAACCGTGACTTTTGCCAATCCCAGATAGCTATACGCAGGTCATCGCTACCGGAAATAAGTCGGTCACCCGACGGGTTAAAGTTAAGACAATTGACACAACCTTTAAGTGAGAGAGAGAGAGAGAGAGAGAGAGAGAGAGAGAGAGAGATTAAGTGTTAATGTCATTAAAATACATAATAAAAAATTATTATTATTATTATTATCAAACCATTATGGTCTTCAAATTTGGCCATCAGTTCGAGTCGTTGAAAAAAATATAGCGAATTGTAGGCATATCGGCGAAATGCTTGCGTTTCGTATGAATTGATTGGACGGTTAGCTCCCGGTCTCTGTTTCAATAGAAAAATAAATCAATCAAATTGTCATTAATTAAGGAGTGATAACTAAACACAAAAAGAAAAAAAATAATAAATCAATGAAATCAATGGTACAATCATTTTGCCGTATTCTCGATGCTGTAGCTGTTGTAGTGAATGCCATTTGACGGTCGGATACGGTGTGCTTGGCGTCGGGTCATAGCTATAGAGATTGTCCTAAACCATAGATGACAACAACAACAATAAAGAAACGGTTAATAAGTTTTTTTTGTGTGTATACATCACTTGACTGATCTTAATATTGAGAGAAAGAGAGAGATATGTATTGCTTGATTAAGCTATAGCTTACCTCGTCGTCATCGTCATCGATACCGAAGAGTTTTTCGCTGGAATCGGTGGAGTCATTGGTGGCGTCGTTGTTATTGTTGATATTCATGTGATTATCACTGGCATTGTTGTCATCATTTTTATTAACAGTATTATCACTATTAGTGTTATTAATGGCAACAGTGATGACAATGTTATCAGCAGTTGACTGTTGACTACTGACGACATTATTGTTGTCCCGATTATTGTCACCATCTGTGGCAACATTTTGCGGGTTGTCTGAATCATCAATTTTTGTTGTCGTTTTTGTTGTTGTCTGCCTTTGGCTGTCATCGACAACAACAACAGCAGCTGCTGTCACACCGTTAGTTGAAGAAGTGCTAACCGATTGATGATCACCGATGACAACATCAACAAGACTTGGGTCTTCGTTCATCAACTGATCCTTTGTCGTTGATGAACAATCACTGACAACAACAACAGTGTCTTTGTTAGTAGTAGTAGTAGTAGTAGTAGTAGTGGACACCGTTGTCGTACTGTTGTTATCGGTGACCATCATATGATCATCACTTGTTAGTTGGACACCATTTTCAGGTGACTCTTGTTGTGCGCACTGGCCGTTAGTATCGCTGGTCTGATCCATCATTGTTTGTCTGTCTGTCTAACCTAATCGATACAATCGACTTATTTCAATGGATTTCAATCCATGACATCCTCCTCATCGAGTTTGGTGGCGATCATCACCACAACAGCTGATTCACAACACAACTGATAATTGATTTTTTAATACAATATTCAAAATGTTTTGTTTACTGACTGTAGAGTCAAAAGCATTCATTCATTCAGTCATTTAAATCACTCATTCGATTGCAAATGCAATGCAATAGAAAATCTAGGGATCGCTTACTCATTGCTTTTTTGTTCATTGATTTAAACAAATTATTTTAATTCAAAAAATTAATATTTAATTTACAAATGCATTTGACTTTTAAATTATATATATAAATATTTAAATCATAAATATATATTTTAAAAATCATTATAATCTCCAGAAAAGTTATATATATATAATTACTTTTAATTAAAAAAAAAATTGATTAAAACTTATTATAATTTTGCTGACTAGTAGTCATTAGACCTATTAATTAACCATGATGACATTAGCAAATAATATAATAATGTAATATATTATTACACATTGAATTTTCTATAGTATTTTTTACATATTAATATATATAATATATATATATATATAATAATCATCGTTGTTATATAAGTACAATTATTATTATCAAATAAATTATTTAATATTTAAATGTAATAAAATATTATAAATTATATTATATGTTATATCTGGCTGTATATATATATATGATAATGAAATCAATGACACTGTTTTATTTTATAAATTGATTTTAATTGTATTTTAATTGAAAATTAATGACATTTTTTTATTATTTATTAATGAATGAATAATATAATTGAATTTATAAAATAATAAATATACAAAAGATTCAATAAAAAAAAAGAAAGAGAGAAAAAATATTATATAATAATAATAATGAGATACTTATAATAATAGGAATCACATAACAATGTGAACTATAAGTTATTTTTTGTTTTGTATTTTTTAATAATATAAAGTAATGACCACTAATTAATATATCAGTTATGTTTTTGTTGTTGAATTAATTGAATTAATTAAACTGATTACATAATTAAAAAAAATAATACTGTATGAAATAATAAGATATTATTACACATTATAATTATAAATAGTAATTTTGTTTTGTTTTTTTGGTTTTAATTACAAATTTCATATATACTCTATATATATATATGTTTCTAATAAAAATGATGTTATCAATAGATAAAAAAATAAGATATCAATATCTGTATGTTTAAGTATAGATAATATAATAATAATTATAATAATGATAACAAATTAATTAATATTATTATGTAAATATTACACATTATAGCGATCAAAATTATAATAATATAATATAATACTCTAAAGTGTTTGTTATCACAATTAACGGCACATTCAATCATTCATTTACTTTTAAATCATAATTTTTTTCATAAATAAGATAATCTTTGAGTCCTAAATAATTATTGTCACTTAAAAAAACCAATCAGCAGCTCTTGGTATTGCATTTGGTGTGAAAATCAATAATAATAATTGAAAATATAATACTAAATAATATTAGAGTACTAAACTATTAATAGATAAGTAAACTTCTTGGGGGAGAGAAATATAAGGGGAGAGAGAGAGACAAGGAGTGGTCAGACGGTTGATCAGACCGGCCGGCCAGTCATTGGTCAGCCGCCGGTCATAGGTCGGCCTTATTGGCAAAAGTGATTTGTGCATATTCTGTGCCCGAGTTGGCCGCCGCCGCTGCCGCCGGACTATTGGTGGTCTGTGCCTTATATTGTCTCTGTTGGGCCTTTGGTTTGTCGGCAACTTTTGGCGGCGTTTTTTGTTTATTATCGGATTTTCCAAACTCTAGATTGGCGTAAACTAATTCATGATTTTCGCCCCCTTTGGCCTAAAATTATTTTAAAAAACAAACAATCAGTGAAAATAATAATAATAATGAGATGAAAATTAAATGATGAGTTTTTAAGATAACATTTTTTTAAATATATAAATCTATTCACTGATTGACTTACTTTTTCGGGCTCTTTCTCTGGTCTATCGGTATCTGATTTTATGGGCGCTAAACAAATAACAAAAAAATCAGAGAAAGAGAAATGAGAGCTTTTTTAATAAACAATAAAATAGTTCAGATTAAACAAACAAAAATTAAATACAATTATAAGTAGATTACAAACAAAAATAGGGATAATTGAAATTTTAAAAATAGTTTAAATAACTTTCGCAATAATTGCATTACTGTTACGGTATTTATAGAGTTCACATAAATATTATACATATATATAGAAATTTACGGTAAGTTTTAAAAACAAATACAAAAAAAAACATTATCGATGTCTCAAAATCGCTGTGCCATTAATTATAACAAATAATAATAATAATAATGTTATCAAAGGTGTTTAATTCAATTATCGATTACATAATAATTTATTTATTGTTTTTTTAATAAAATGTGAAATACAGTTTGATTTTTTTGATTTAATTATTTTTCTAAAAAAAATTATCGATGATTATTTAACAAATGATATCATAAATGATTGATTTGTAATAATTATTTTTCCATATATATATATAAAAAAAATTGATTTAATTAGTTCAAAAAAATATTATGTTTGATAATATAAAAAATATGATCGCAAAAAAAATATTCAGAAAAAAAAATAAATTATGAAAATCAGAAAAATTAAGTATTAAATCACTTATTAATTAATATTATAATCAATTGTTTAAGTAAACAAATTGGTGAGCAAATAATAATTGTAAACAAAAATCTATTATTAAATATTAAGATCTAATGATTATTATATATATTTAATGTCTTTTAAAAACATTGTCCTCATATCTCTTCATTCATTCATTTTTTTTTTTTGATTAGTTATTTGAAAAATACTATTAATTGCAAAACAATTGAGATTTTCTTTGGGGAGACAAACAAACAAATCTTCAACTTTTAAATTCTTGTGTTTCTATACCTCGAGCTTCGGCTTTGCTTTCGTCGTCAGTCTTTTCTTTGGCCAATTTTCGCCGTTTGATTACTAATAGGGTTACCAATGTCAGGGCCAACAACATAATCAATACAATAAGGCCAATGGTTATCATAATGGCGGCCGAAACGGGTGATGTAACCTTAGATAATAATTTTTAAAAATTAATATACGTTTTTCTACAAAAAGAAAATAACAAACAATTTACCTTCAATTGGATGACACTTTCAGAGGTTCCCCTACTGTTTGTGACCCTCAATGTGTACTCTCTTTCATCGTTGACATCGGTGTTCATAACGGTAAATACGGATCGATAACATGTGTTTTTGCCCCACTCTATCCTTTCCATTGGTGCCAGTTTACGGACTTTAAATCGTGGATTTTTCGGGTCCTGACCATTGTCCGCGGGACGCTGATTATCCAAACTATAGAGATTAATAATTAAAAAAATAATTTCATTAGTTTTCAATTAGTTAAATAAAATGTATAATCAATCAATTAATCAAAAATGCTGTGCTATTTACTTGACGGGGAAGGTTAGCGAACCAAACAGCCAGACAACTTCACTGGGAGCCGGATCGCTGCAGAATACTTGTTCAATGTCGGTATCGGTGCTCCGGTAGCCATAAGTAGGATTGGATCGGCGAACTATTTCTGGACGGCCAGTAATATCGACGGTAATTCTGCCACTTCTGGCGACCATTTCTTTATGGGTGATGTCGTTATAATTGATAGCTTCGCAATAATAATGACCTGTATTTTATTATTAGAAGAATTAAAATTTGTTAATTTTTGTTAATTAAAATTAATAATTATAATAATATTGACATACCCTCGTCATTATAGGTAGCATTATGTATGACTAAATTGTTGGCATTTTCACCATTTATGGGCCGATTCTTCACCTGATCGGTCAATGGATTTATTTGATACCAATAGATCTTTGGCTTTGGATTGCCCTCATATTCACAGAACAGGTCGACCGTATTATTCAACTCAGCCGTCACCTGACCTTCGGTAGCGCGGACTAGTGTTGGCTCAACTGTAAGTTATTTAATAAAAATAAAAATTAATATTATAATTAAAACATCAATCAAACAAACAAACAAAAAAATACTGATATTATAGACACATACAGAGCACATCCAATACAATATTTTCTTCAGTTGAAGTTCCGAATTCATTTTGAGCACTACAACCAAACACTGCAGTATTCATACGTTTGGTAACCCTTTCAATGATCAATGAGTTGGTCCGATGGTCGTCACGAAATGGTAGATTTTGATCACCTTAAATGATAATAATAATAATAATAATCAGTGCCATCATAACTACGACAGTATCAATAGACACCACAATCATGAGTGTGAAGGGGACACATACCTAATGATCTCCATTTAACATTTGTCGGTGGATTTGCGTCAACATCGCATCGCACCTGTAGACTACTGCCCTCATTGACGGTATACTTCTTTTGCTGTACACTAACTTGCGGTATGTCTGTTATTATGGTAAACCAGTTTATTATATATATATTAATAAGATTCATTACATTAGTTATTAAACCCTTCCCCCACCCCCAGAAAAAATATCAATTGTTTAGCTTACATTTGACATTAATCGGGGCTGACATGTTTTGAGAAACCGTTTCATGTATGGACAGGCATGTGATGGTTGAATTTCGTAAGCTTCGTCTGAAATTATAGTTCAATACAGAAGTCACTTTAGGCGTTCCCGATGCGGCCGAATCTACGGTCGTACGTGACTATATAGATGTGTATGAAAAAAGAAAACATTAGTTTCAATAACAAAAAAAAAAATCAAATTTTTATAAATTAGTTTTTTAGATATGTCCATACATTTTGTGTAACATTATCGCCATTGATATACCATTCAAGACGTGCCGAAGGATTTCCTCTTTCGGATATACACTCAACTTGGGTCTGTCGGTCGGCATTCACATCCAATCGATTGTTTTCCTATAAGTTTTAAATAAATAATAGTAATAATTAAAACTTAATTACCGGTAGATATGTATATATATATATATATATAATGGACAGTTAGTTATTAGTTGACAGACACACCGACTCACAATTAGTGTCTCAATAAAACAAAATAAACTAAATTATACACTTAATTAGTCAACTAAACAAACAAAACAAAAATCAATTACCAGATTATTGATGACCGGAGAACTGGGAGCCACGAGTACGACCACATTGGCGGCTGAAGTGAGCGTTTTTTCTATCTTATTAATGGAGAGCACTTGACACTCCCATTTGCCGTTATCCTCTTTATAGTCTACTTTGACTATACGAAGACTACAATCGCCTATATATTTTAAAAAAATAAATAAATATTAATTGAAAATAAAAATTAATTATTAACCAAATAAAATGGTCAGTAAAAAAAACCACACACACAATCCGTTTGTTTGTTATAACATAAATATTTATCTTATGATATGTTAGGATAAACTTATCGATAAAAAAAATTTAATATTTTGTTTACCATTATCTGGGTTTCGATTATATTCGTAACTTCCATTGATAACTCCTATTCCTTGGGATTTATGAAGCCATAGGCAGCTGCCCTCCAGATCCCTTACCTCACATGGTAGTACTAGAGTTTGATCTTCAACACAAAAACAAAACAAATATCAGATAATAGTTTTTTTTGTGGATGTATTTTATTTGTCACAAATATCGGGGAACAACACCCCTCCCCTCCTGACAATCTCTCTAATCAAATGTCAACAATACCTTTAAGTACTGTATACGTCCCTTCCGGCCGTTTGCTGAAGTGTTGTTTGGCTATTGTAAGGGTAAAACAAACAAATAAAATACAGATATATTATTATTAGTTAAATTATCACAAATTTTTTTTTTAAATAATAAATAATAAACAAAATTATTAGAGTATTTTGTTTTGGAGTTAAAAGTAAATAAAAATAAATATATATATTTTACAAAAAAATATTTATTTATTTTTCAAATTTCAATTTTTGTCGAATATATATATATATATAATGCAAAAGCAATGAAGGAAAACAATTGTATTGCAAAAAAATAATAATAAATAAATAAATAAATAAAAGACAATACATTGACATTCAATCTATAGATGACAACCAAATGTCAGAAAATAATGACTTATAGAGAGAAATAGAAAGAGAACCGTTGGGTAAACCTGTATGTGCTATACATGTGATATACTGTATGACCGATTTGTTGAACAGACAAAAAAAAAACATTATATTATAAAAAAAACTAAAGGGAAATCATAAGTAGAGTGAAAAGCCTATCATAATTGTCTCATATAATAATAATAACATGAAATCACATCACGTAAACAAATACAGATATAATATATATATCAATATATCTATATATTATTAAACAATTTTGTTGGACAATGACATCGGGTTTCATCTGTGGATGACTTTGAATGGGGCGATAAAAAGCCTAAACAAATAGGGTTTACAATATACTACTGAATATAAAAGTATAGCTAATACATGTATTATTGTTATTTTATTATTTAATATTGAATGCCAACAAACAAAATACAATTACTGCCAGTTTTTTTTATTATTACAATTAGTATTTTTTTTGTTACAATTAGTATTGAGTCTTAGGTCAACTAAACAAACAAAAACTATAATAACAATTTATATATTTGATAATCAAATAAATAAATAAATAATTAAAACTAAAAAAAATTGTTTTATGTGTTTTTAATTAATCCAAATTATGTGTTTGCGAGACAAATAAAAATCAAAAACAAATTATTCAAACAAATATATGCCTGTCCTCTATATATCACTCGTAAATCAACTAATTTTTGTTGTTGTTGGATATATGTATAATACATGTCTATATAATATGCAGATTAAATAAATTGTCAATTAATTAATAATAGACAAAAAAACTCTTTTTTAACGACTTTTTCAAATTAAATAAATTACTTCCAATACATTTCTATATTATATATATATACAATATATTAACAATAAAAAAACATTAAACATTAGGCGTAATGATTGCGTGGAAACCGCACATAGGATTATATCATATGATTGTTGGAAAAATTCAATGCAAAACAATATATATATATATATCCAAAATAATAATAATAATACAATAATTGTGAAAAACACAATTATTTAATCACATTTGAAATACAGTTAGCGAGGAAAGACACTCACAGTACTGAACGTATTAACTCACAAATGCATTCATAATAATAATAATAATAATAAATTTTAAACAACAAGTTGTGTCTCAGAAAATATATATATAATTTTTAGGCATCACTTGCTTTAAGAGTTAATTTTTCAAACAATAATAATAATAATACTAATAAACGGAACAACAGATTAGTTTAATACTAATGGAAAAAACATATATATATAAGAGATTTAAAATATATTTTCCTAAACAACACAACATTTTTGTTGAGTGCAATTATAAGCCCTTGTAATCATTCAATACAATACAAAAGTATAGGTACTATAATTCAATGATATCTTATTTTATGTAAACTAATACCAATCTCTCAAATATAAATGTCGACAAAGAGAGAGAAAAAAAATGTTTTCTTTAAAATTGATTTTACATTGAATTCCTGGGATTATTATTGAAATATGATATGAAAAAAACCTAAAAATCTATACTTTAATTCATTTTTCTAAATTTTCTAATACACATAATATAACACTAATAAATAGTTTAGTTTTTTTCCAATGAAAATATTCAATTCATATTGTATTCCATTCCTAGTATTAATTTAGTTGATATTTAATACTTTAAAAATTTGATGTAATATTTAATATAATACAATAATATAAATAAAAATATAGTTCACACATATTTTTGTATTATAAAATAAATAGATTATATAGATGAGGGTAGATTTTTATAATACACTAGAAAATTCAATATTAAATACATTATACCGTATATATAAGGTATACTTATATTATAATATAATCAAATTATGATTAAAAACTTGATGTATAATAGAAATAATGATTTTATAATAAATAGTTACACAAACCATACAACATACCATATAGTTTGTTTATTTGTATTGTATTATATTATTAGATGAATTGATATATAAATTTATATATGTTTATGAGATCAAATAAAAAAAAGTGTGTCTAAACAAAATTAATTATAAAATAAAATCATTAAACCGTTAAATCATTTATTATATCACAGAAAAAGATTGTTGTCTATAATATATATAAAAAAATTTGTTTTGAGAAATTTATTTTTTATGCTGGTTTATTTCATATTATTATTTTATTATTGTTATTATTTAACAGACACTATTCATTAGAGTGAACAAAAAAATCAAACTTATAATAAATAAATAAATAATAAAAATAATAATATAATTATGCATTCAATTAATAGTACATTAACGTGCAATAAGTAGTGTATATTTAGTAACAATTTTTTTTTTGAAAAAATAAATAAATTATAATATCAATAGAATTTTTGGTTATTTTTTTTGTAAAAAGTGTTAAAATTGTAAATTTCTATGACATTCGTGACCATCAAATTGGGGTCTACTTTGTACAGTACTTTTTAAGGACCAATAGGTTAGTACATATTTAGCTAACGGTGCTTTTGTGGTATATATTTATTAATATAGTAATTTTAAATAAGTTTAAATTTGAATTGCCACCAATAAACTATAAAAAATTATTACTTCTAAATATTATTATTATTATTACTATATTGAAGTTCAATAATAATAATAATAATATTTTGCTTTATTATTAGCTGTAAATAAAAATTAGGTTCAATATACAGACAACACAAACTTGAAAAGTGAGTTCAAAAATCATATACTATTTATACCATTATGTGTGTTAGGGTTTATAAAATATTATTTTTTTGTATACATTTATACAATTATATACAATATATAAAGTACTGTATGTGTGTACCATATATTAAAAAATCAATCCATAAATGAAATGCAATTGAGAATAAAATTAGTTTTAAACCTCATTTCTAAATAACAAAAATATATATATAATAAAAAATATATTATATAAGAATATAATAATAATAAATAATAATAATATAAATTTCTTTAAACATTTGAATTTTTATAAGTAAACTAATAAGTAGTAATAAAAATTAGAAAATATTTATATATCTATAAATTATGGCAGCAATATATTTTTATTAGACAAAGCAAAAAACATTTTTGATTACAATATCTACTATATTGACGGGATTGGGATGATTGGGTCAATTTGAAGTACCGTTTGATTGACACGAGACCTATCTCTCATACATACACATACCGGTGCTTAATTCACATTCAACTTAGGTATAAATTCAAAATCAACAGGTTTTAAACGTAATTGGGTACTAAAAATAACATTTTTATTTTATATATTTAATTGCTTTATATGTTATTATAAAATGGATTTAATGGTTAATCAGTTATCGAGTTTAGAGTTTTTGAAAAGTTTTTTTTTATTAAGTAATATAAATGCAAATCATTTTTTTCTAAGTCAACCGTTCAATACTACTATTTAAAAAAGTAGTAGTAGTAGTAATACTAATATGTAGTAGTAATCTATATCGGGCACCTGTATAATTGTATAATATATATATATATATGTATTTAGGATTCACTAATAAAAAATAACATACCGCTTTCAGCAAATAAAAATAAAATGTTTATGATTTTATCTCAAACATTATTACTTAAATTTCAATTTATTTGATATATTTTATATATATATATATATATATATATATATATATATATATATATATATATATATATAATATACATTGTATATAACAAATCATTTAAATTAGCCCTTAAGTATTATATAACAGTCGCATTTAATTTAAACTAAATATATCAACACAAAGTACATATAAATTTATTATATATATATATATATATAACAATAATATTTAATAGTTATATTAAATTATCTGAGTTGAAATAATTATAAAATTTTTATAAATATACATAAATGGCAATTTTAAAGCTCACTAATTGTCTTTAATTTATATAATTAATTGTATCGCTAATTGTTGGGCAACAAAACTATTATTAAAACATTAAAACAATTATTTATTAAAAAATGTTATATAAAAGGCGGAATTGTGTTTTGAATTGAAAACAATTAATTGTTTAATAACACAAATCTTTTAAAGCTATTTAGACAAAACAATAATCTTATGGATAAAACAGTAAATATTTTATCGACATTTTCAAAAACCCATTTCTTTTTTAAAAAATATATATATTTAAAAAATCCTATAATAAAATGTTTACGGATGCGAGTAATTTATAAAACAATTTTTTGGGGCTTAAAAAATCTATAATATTCAATGACAAGCTAATGGGTTAAATATATAACAATAAAATAATTGTAAAATACATGACTACCCCCACAAAAAATAGTCGGCACCCTATCATCATCATTGAGATCAGACAAAGTGATAAGTTTATTGAATATTAGTTATTATTGTTATCATTATTATTATTATAACCTGTCATAATATATGATGTTTTTTCAATTTATTTTTTACCCCAAAAAATTAGGCATAAATTTTAATTACGAGCCTAACTGATAAAATTGTTGTTTTAAATAGATTTTTTTTCAGTGCAAAAATAGATATAAATCATCTTTTTTTTATTATTGAAAACTTGAATATCATCAGTAGGTCATCGATAAGGGTTTTAAATAAAAATTAATTTTAACTATACTTTAAAAAAAATTTAAATTCAATTTTTTTTCAGTCCAATACAATCATGAGATTAA